AAGAAGATCAGCCTTACTCAAATTCCAGGTTTTTCTCACTCCCTGATCATAGTTACTGCCAAAGAGTATATGAAGTAAGAGAGTTCCCTGTTGCACATGTACCATCCATAAGGGATACTATATCGTTTTGCATTCTTTCCCCATTCTCCAAATTATCCTATTCTGAGTCCAGCTCCTTCTCTTTTCAGCACTGGTGTTCAAAAGCAAGATTTTTCGGTTTGGTTTACCAACAACTGTGAGAACTCCACAGTTGAAATCGTAAAATTGCCAATCATTATCTAGCAGCAATGACAGATAAGGAAGAGTCAATCCTCGGAATTCTTTCCCTAATAGGCAGTTGTTTGAGAACTGCACTGACAGAATACTGAAACATTATCAGCTAAAGCCAAAACCAAATAAAGGCCCAGAACAAACATCCTGGCTCTCTAAAACCTGTCCAAAATCATTTAGGGAAAGGCAGTAAAAAATGCAGGACTTGTGGATCATGTCACTGCAGCTGACAATGATTAACAATAGGAGACATGCACCCCCATTAAGGTTATAAAAGTCCAAAACTAGTCACACGCATCTCTTTACTAGGGAAAAGTAAGGCTATTAGGCATGATTTGTATTTGCAACCTTGCAGGAAGAGCACCCATTGCATTTCTGTCATCGTTCAGAAAGCACCGGTTCCAAGGGCCTAACAGTACGAAAATGCATTCTGGCATCACACCTCTGAACTCCAGACTGTTCTCATTAAAAAAATCATTAATTTTGGTTTGAAACAAGACTATGAAATACGATGCAAGCACCTCGGTATAGCATTATTATTGAAAGAAAAACCCACTTATTCCCAGCTGTTTGAATGAGTGCTTTGAAAAATAACAATTCACTGACCTAACAGTCACAAATTTTTAACTACATGCAAAAATTTCTTAGTCACAGGGTTCTCATTCTAAAATGTAGAAGCCTAGTCATCTTGAAGCACAATAAAAAGCAAATCAACCCCCCACCCTGATCCAATGATGCTCCTGGAGTCCGTATTATTATACCAAGTATGTTCTCTGAACATTGTTGCTGACTCAAATCTGTGCTTTTATGTCTAAACACCCAAATCACGGCAGCAAGTTGCTGGCCACCGATTTAAGAGTATGCCACAGGAAGCCCCATCAGAGCTCTAAGCCAATTTCGTGAGTCACTTATTGAACATTATGTTGGACCTGCATTATGTCAGAAGAGCTAAGCTATTCACCATTTCGTCTTTTATGAGGAGTCTAAAGTTGTTTGTTGGAGTGAACTACACATATACAAGTAGAAATCTATCCCCACCTTGTGAATGAATTGCCAAAGAGCAAGCTATTTTTTCTTGATACAATAGAAGAAAATTCTCAGTCATGAAGAGTTTTCACCGGCATTTATACAAAGTAAATAAATTTTTCAGTTACAGAGCAGCAGAAAGTAGTATACATGAAGCTGTTTTCTCATGCATGCTACCTAAGAACCAGTTCAGAGACCACAGTTAAGTTGAATTGAGGTCTGGAACAAGAGTTGATGAAAAGCTTATTAAAACCATATGCTTCCTTATTAATAAAAAGAAAATGCTTTTCAAGACTCATGTTTTCTTTTAAGTAAACACTCTTGAGTTATGACATCACATCCCTAAAGCTAAGGGAATAAAATCAAAGGCTACTCTGAACATTTGCAGCCATCCTACAGAATACGACGAAGTCTTACCATTGGGAAACAATTCCCAATGTATTCAACTGTAGGCAAGTCAATGTGCCACACCACTTTCCCCCAGGTTTAGAGTACAGATACATTTAGACAAGTCACAAAGCTTTAACTATTCACATTAGCTTCCCATCTAAGCCCAAGTAAGTAATAATATAGGTGATAGTCCCATGGAGCCCATTTAAAAAAAAAAAAAACTACATAATTCACTCAACCTACAGAATAATTACCAAGATTGCATATTGAATTCACTAATAGTGCTGACCTACAGGCAGGTCAGTTTGCTACAGAGACTAATCATCACATTTTTTTAAGTCCATGTCAAGACACTAAAAGCACTCTATTTCCTAAGTATGGTTTGGTTCCCTCTCCCCACACCGCTGCTGTGTTTGTTATCTTCAGTTACAATGCAACTACAGAAAACCACACAACTGAGTCAGATACACACCAAAAGAATTGTTTGTACTTTTTATGCAACAGCACTGAACTCCGCCTGCCAAATTACAGCTCTAACCCCAAACCCACACTGTTTTGATATAAACTAGCTTTACCATACAAGTGTTAGGTGCTGCACTGTATTTTCATTGTCAGAAGTGTGATGTCAGAATGCCCACGGAATAAAAGTACATAGCAAGTCACCAAGTTAGATTATATTGCTTGTTACCTACCTGTATGCAGTCGGCAATGAGAATCGTGGAGCAAGCAGGAATACTACATCCGGGTCCTAATGTCCATTGCCATTTGCGGTACTACGTTCCTCACAGTTACGCACTGCAGAAATGCTGGCTAAATGCAGTTATGTAGCAGGCCACTACTTTAATAGTGCATAATTGCAGTCCAAGAGCACCAGAAAACATTCTGCCACAACTTGGTGGCTTGCTCAAGAGAAGCCAAGTACCTAAATTTTAATCTGCCATAATATGCCACTTATAAAAATTGCAGAGGCGTAACATTACAAATTTCTCAAATTGTAGTTTATATTAGTGCTATAATAGACCTATAGAGTGGTGGGGTTTATAGTACTTCCTAATTTTCCAAGCAAAGATTATCATTTTTCTAAACAATGTGAGCCAATGGTTTAAACTTATTGGATATCTATTAAACACACTGGGGTCTTAAAGAATGCAGTTTTTAAAGATTGGGAAGAATGTAAGTTTAAAAACAACCAGGTTCCTCTTAAAAACAAAATTATGAGAGAAAGTGGAAAAGAGGAAATAGGGGGGAGGGGGGGGCAAGGTGGTTTCTTTAAATGAGAAAAATGGCTAAGATACTTCAAAAACTACCATCTTTTCCCACCCCAAACTTCATTATCAGTTTTATGATGATTTAAATTCACATTAGGCTAAAAATGATCCTATGTAAGACTTGTTTTGTTACAAGTCTGAGTAGCTTACAACCCTTGGTACACTGATGTTTCAGTGATGAAAAGTCCAATGTCAGTTGAAACTAAGCAACTATTTGCTAAACAGTGTTTAGCAATTCTACAGCCCACAGTAAGGTTATCAAAAGCCACAACTTTCAGAAGATTATCCATTAGCATCCTCCACTAACTCTTCAAAGGTATAGAACTATGGGTCTGTGTCAGCATCCCTTATAAAGAAAGGCATGTAATCTGAAAAATAAACTGAAACATTAATTTTATAGGCAGATTTTCCCATTTCACCACCAGCCCCCACCCACACATTCAAGTTCACCCTCTGTGGGTGTCCCAGGAACACCTCTTATTTTTTTTGTCATGAGTAGAGCCCCTACTATACAATGTATCCAAGTTATAACAGACTCCCTTTACAAAACGAAGACCCTTTTATCTGTACAGACCAAGCTCATGAGTACCACCAATTAATGACTTGGGACAAAACTTTCTACTTACTGATATCATTATGGTACAACTACCCATTTCCAAGTGTCTTTCTTGGTGAATAGAAATGAGATTCTCTCCCTCAATTAGCACACCATATACTGTCAGTCACAACCAGAATTTCGTGACATGTCTTTATAACTCCACTAATGTTTTGCTTTTCATTATTCTGTTTTCTATTCAGTAAATGCTCAATTGTTTCAACAAAAGGGTTCCCCCTTTGTACTCAGGCACATTACTAAACTTTAGCATTTTAATAAACGTTTGATTTAGAATTTTTTTTGCCAATTTGCATCAAGAACGGAAGTGAAAGGAAGGAAGATAAATTCCATAGAGGAGTTCTGAAATGTAGAAATTTGAATGGAAACTTAACTAAGAACAAAGCCAAACCATTCATTACTTTTCCTAGTATTAGGAAGTCATTTCTTACACTGGGAAATCAGGCTCCCATTGTACTAACAAAACAACAGTAAAGCATCTAACTTAATAACATGAAGTCAAAATATATTCTAATGAAAGGAAATTCAATGAGGTTGACCATGAACTGGCATATCATTGAAATAACCCCAAAGCTTTATAGTGGGGCTGAAGCGGGTATTTGTACTGTGTAGCATGAGCAAGTCTCCAGATTTAGTGCTACATCAAAAGAAAATGAAAAAGAAACAGGCCAACAAATTTACATTAAGATTGGTTATTGGCAAACCTATTTGTTATTTCCAGTCACCACTAGCTATTAGAAAGAGAACCAACAGATTTTTATAGTCCTACAGATTTTGTCCATCAGAAGTAGCACAGGAGATGTAAAAGTTACAGAGTACAAATGTTTTGCTAGTACTGCTTTATGGTTACTACATCGTCCTTATTTTCATGTTGACTTTTTCAGACTAAACCCCATCAGTTAGTTTATAAATCACTTAAAAGTAATACATGAAAAGGCTTCATGTTTAATAGTCTTTAATTCAAATGTAAAAGTTCAATACAAGCCATTTGTAGGGCTTGGGACTTGTTCTTTTAAAGCCAAGAATGGGGAAATGCAACAGTATGATCTACTTCTTCAGAAAAAAAAAAAACTTTCAAGGAAAAGATAGATCATAAGGCCATAAAAGAATCATTTAGCCAAATCCACTTTTTCCCAGCAATGGTTCTAACACCCATTCCATAATCTTAATACACATAACTGAATGAAGGCTTACAGTTCAGACCATTTAAAAATACTTAGCACCGGCTTGCTTCCTATGCCAAACAAATCAAATCGTGAAACATTGCTTTCAAAATGCATTCTTTTTAAACAGGGGATAGTTATTTGTAGAAAGCAATACTTAGCCTCCAAATAAATTTCCCAGAAATGGTATACACCATTCAAAGGCCTAGTCTCTCATGCTTTCAAAGTGGAAAACCTACTCTAATGTGCATATAAGCATGAATGGCAAAGTTGAAGATCAGAATTATAACTATTTTTTCTATTTATTTGAAGCACAGTAAAAAAAAATTGGTACACTTTGGAAATTCAGCGGCACAAGGTACACTGCCATTAACTTGAGGGGACATTATACATTTAAAAAAAAAAAAAAAAAAAAGGAAAAAAATTCTCCTGTTTTAAACACTGCATTACATAATTTTACCTGCCTAAACAGACCATTTACAAATATTAGGTCAATAAACTGCTAACATCCATAAAAAGGTAGCTTTCTTACTAAAATGCAAGAATTTAAAAGGTTGGTTATCTAAACAAGAAAAGACAAAACAAACTGGAATGAAAGCCTAGATATCACATCTAAAATCGGGGTTTCTTGTTTGGGCCTTCATAATCTTCTCTCCCTCTACCATATCCTGATGGAGTTCCAGGCCCCATTCCTCTAGGACCCTGTCCACCCACAGACCCCGAACTTCCTTGCCCAAAGCGCTCAGTACGCTATTGGAACAGTAATAACAGTTCATTATATGTAGTTGATGTCCATGTGTGTTAAGTAAATATTTTAGAAGGTTCCGTAGTCAACGTTCGTCGATACAATCACCAATGAGTCGATCCACAGGTACCGGGAACATAGAAAGGAAAAAAGGGTAATTTGAAAATTAGTTTACGATAAATACATGCCTTGTGGTATGTTCCCACTTGAGCCATTCTCATACACCTGTTTCAAAGAACAGATCTTCCCTGTAGTGCTAAAAAATTTAAGAATTAGTGCAGATGTGAAAACCCATTCCAAAATGAGTTCTAAGTAATTTCACATCAGATTAACTCACTGAAAAGCTTGCAAAACTTCTCACTTTAAAGTCTGAACAGAAAATTTAATTTCCAAGTAAGCCTAACAAGCCCAACCAGAAAAATTCAATTCACTCAATGAAGTGACAAAGACCTACTCACCAGTTAGTGGCATGTGCTGCATAAGAAACCTTGTGCTTTTCAAGATCTTAAGACACATCTGCTAAGGTGCAGAAAATCTTAAAAGGTTGAAAGTTTTAATAAAATGCTACCAGACTACAAAAAGAAAAGGCATAAAAGACTAACAGATTTAGTCACTTAACCGGCACAGTAACTGGATTAAAAAACTTTGCCATAGTCTCACAGGTTTACCACCTTCAAAGCCATCACTATACAGCCATGACATTATGACCCACAGTACTATTCTGTACTGCAGCAAAATGACTGAACATACACTATAGCCCACCCTCAGAACAGTCCGACTTCTCCTCCTTTGATCCATTGACAACCCTGACATGATTCCATATTTTGAGTTATCACCCAAACAACCTAACACTAAGCTTACATGACTGCAGTGAAGCAGTAACTTCATTATTCCATTTAGTTACTTCTAGACTTACATCAGAAATGTATGTTCCCAAACAGAAGAATCCTAACAAGTAAACACACAACAGCCTAAACTGTCTTTCAAATTCCAATTAAAATAGATCAGCTACTAAGAGCATTAACTCCAAAAGGGGGGGGGGGGGGGGGAAGGGGACCAAGGCTTAACCATTCCTATGTACAATTTCAATGTTTACCATACAGAATACCAGCGCTACCTGAAAAGCTTATAAGCCTCAACCCTTTAACCTGCTCCCACCCACCCCCCACAAAAACACTAGGAAAACTTTAAGATTTTTAGCGCATTATGCTCTAAAAGTTAAAATAAAAAATTTGGGAATTTTATGGTTACTATTACTACAGCTTGAACTCAGGAGCTATCTGTAACGTGGAACGCAGAACCTTAACAGTGTTAACATGTCAGATTAGGTTTTATAAATTTGCTATGTATCTACATTCTACCTTTTAGGAAGTTTATAAAAACCATGTTACCCACATTTTAAAAATTAAATTTGTAGAAAGGTAATAGCATTACATTTTACTCAACTAGCTATTACAGTTTTAACTTTAATACCTAAGTACATTTTAACTAGGGTTAAGGCCCCTTATGGAACCCTAAGGTTCCTAATTTTTATGAGTTAGAGCTACATACAGAAGCTCTTCTTCTTTGCCAAACGTTGAGAGAGGAACTAGTCAGATTCAACTCAGCTGTGAAAATGCATTCTTCTAAAACCCATCTCTAAAGTAAAAACCTACAGTTCTTGTAAGAATTTGTAAAACCCTAACGCAGCCACTCAGATCAATCCACTTTACTGTTCTAAAGCATCCTTGACAGGCTATCTGTATAGCTAAAACATGATAGCATCAAGAGAGATCAGATCAAATGCACACAAATAGTATGCTTAAAATTCTAGATTTTTTGCTACCCTGTAGCAAAATAGAGATGTCAGTTTTATAGTAAAAGGTGTACCTATACAAAGGTCCACTTAAGTGGGAAACGACGAGTCAAAAAACTAAATAATTCCCTTTCCATGGGTAGAAGCCACAAATACAGGTCAAGTCCTGCACATCACTAAAACATGCCTCAAGCTACAAACTACAAGTGTGATTCATACGTATGGCAAATACCTGATTAAAGAATGGCACATTGCCATTTCGTTATTTCTCACTCAGATGTATAATACATTTTAGGATTTAGATTTGCCATGCACTAGAATTCAAATGTGCATTGATGGAAAACACCTAAACCTTATTGCCAAAGTCAGCTTACAAACACGTATTGACTCTTCACTGGCAACCGTATCTGTTTAGGTTACCAAACACGGAGTTCTACATGCCAAAGTAGTCCTCAACATTATGATTTGCATGAGAGGGGAGCTAAAAGAAATCCACAATCACCTACTTTAAAAAAAATCAAACAAGTAAGTCATGAAAATGAAAATTTTCCTTTGTACTAATGTCCTACAGGATACATTACCATGTCACTTCCCATCATGGAACCACTCATGGTTGCTGGTGGAACTCCAGGATTGGCTTCATAACCTATGCCACCACCACCACCTAGAGGTGGAAATTTCTGGCCTCCTGAACCATAAGGATCTAGGAAATAAAAACATCAGTTAAATTAAACAAAAAACCTGCTATCTAATGAAATTACTAAGTTAATTGTTATGCTTACCTCCCATGTTCATTGCTCCTCCACCACCCATTCTCATGTCTCTTTCTCTCTGGGGAGAAAAAAAAAAGCATTCTGAGTACAAAGAAACAAAAACTGAAAAAACAAAACCACTGCGAAGTGCAGCCTGATGTGGGTCTGTAATTAAAGTACTGGGACTGCTCAAGGGTTGCTATGAGTGGGAACCAACTAAATAGCACTTTGTTCACTGGGCAATTTGTTTTCATTGCCCTGGTGTCGAGCTTTGTAGTGTAAGCACAAGGTCAGCAGTTCAAGCCCACCAGAGCCACTCATCAGAAACTCTGTACTTGGTCGCTAAAAGTTGGATCTGACTCACTGGCACTGAACAACGAAGTACTTTTAAGACCTAAAAGGCCTAAAGGCCTCAAAGTCACTTCCTAATCATTGAAATCTTTTAGCCCATCTGGGGATAAAACTTGTTTGTTAAGTGTTGGCGAATCAGTTCCGACCCATAGCAACCCTGTACAAGGTTTCTAAGGAGCAGCCGGTAAGCTTGAACCGCCGACCTTGTGGCTCAAACCAATTTTGCAGTCCAGTGCATTAATCAAGAGCGTCACACCAGGACTCCAGGCATGAAACTTAGGGCAAAGCAAAAATAACACAATTAAAAAAAAAAAGATAGCAGGGTATGTTCTTTTAAGTTACGTGTCGAACATCGAGTTGATTTTGACTCACAGCAATCCTTCCTGTATGAGTAGAATTGCCCCAGAGGGTTGCCTAGCAATCATTAGAAGTAGGAGCTACTGGGAGATTCAAACAACCAACCTTTCAGTTAGCAGCTGAGCACTTAACTATTGTGCCACCATGGATCCTTACAAGTTGTAGAGATAAACTACTGGTCAGATAACTTACTGGATCCATGTAACCCATCCGGCTGTAACTTTCCTCTCTTTGGCGTCTCATTTGTTCTTCCATCTCACGTTGACGAATCATCATTTCTTCCTCCCTTCTACGTCGTTCTTCCTCTTGCCTGAAAATATTAAATCATCACAACTAACCCAAAATGTTATCTACACATTGTTAAATTCAATTTGACTATGTTAGTAAAATATCTTAACTTTAGAACTAAAAACAAAACAAAACAAAAACCCCAAGCAACTCTAGGGTCAGAGTGCTGTAAAGCATTCTGACAAAAGAAAAAAGTTGCATTAGTGAAAACTTTTTGTATTTCATTCTGGATGTTAAAAACCAACATTAACATATTAAACCTCTGCACTCCACCTGACTCACTTGCAAAATTGACTACAACTTTCCCCCTAAATGTCTAGAAAATAAGTACTAGTGCAGCAGCAAAAGCTCAATAAACAAAATTTCACCTTAATTGCATTTCTTTGCGTTTCTGCATTTCTTGATTGTGAAGTTCCTCCATGCGTCTTAATTCTTCTTGACGTCTCATCAGATCTGAATATTGAAGAGTATTGTTTTAAAATCACCTTAATACCATTCCAATGCATTCAAAAAAGCAAAAGAGAGCTGAATTCAGAGAACCTTTACCTTGGCGCAAAAGATTGGCCTGATGCTCATGATAGGCATCTTCCATTTCACTTTCTAATTTGTCCTTTGCATCTTTCATGTTTTTCTCAACTTGTTCCCTCTGTTGTTTTTCCATTTCATCCAAGGACTTCCAGCGCTGGGAATATTCATACTCAAATGTTGCATGCTGGGCAAAACGAGGAGGGGTCTCTCTTTCCCTGACAATGCACGTAATTTAAATATAATTTATGGATATACATAAAAATACTATCAAATTCTCAATACACAGGTCCTTTACTGGCCTTTCACTTGTAATGAGAAACAAAATGCAAAGATAATGTTGGCTGGTTCACATACAGAATCTTCAAAGTAAAAAAACAAAACAAACTGGTCACATTCAGCAATAGAACACGGGCACTGAAGACAAATCTTAGCTTCCTCCCCCGGCCCCCTAAAATCTTCCTCTAGTCAAATTCCTTACAAGGCATATTTCTTTTCACTCTTAAATGAGGACATCTACATTTCATACAATTGTTCAGGACAAAACAATTGATTACCCATGAAATGCAAATCAAAACATCTATCATTTATCTTATCCCAATATTGATAAAAGTTAAGAACATAAAACAAATGCTGATAAGGCTATGGAGAGACTGGGATACTGGTACATCCACCGTATAAAGCTGTATGGCACATTGTCAAACACTGGGAATAGAAGTACTGTTGTTGCCATCAAGACTCATAATGACCCTGTATAGGGTTTCCTAGGAGTGGCTGGTTCAAACTTTGCACCAGCGCATTAACCCACAGCACCACATACAGTATGACCCAGTAATCCCTCTACTTGGTACATAAACTTAAATGAGTGCCACGACTCGAATAGATATATATGAACACCCATGTTAATTGCAGCACCACTCACAATAGCAAAAAGATGCCCTCAATGAAGAATGGATAAACTTTCATATATACACACATGAATCCTATGAAACACTGAATTACGAAAAAGTTGTGGAACACCTCATAGCACAAAAGAACCCCAGAGGACATGATGCTTAATCACAAAAGAACAAATACTGAATGAGACCACTATTGCAAAAACTTTAGAAATCCTTTTTAAAAAGTTTATGTAATAGAAAAATTACTGTTTATCATAAAGTTTAACAATCTTACTTTTGATACATGGGGTTCTTCTGTGCAAGTTTTTCAGGAAGACCATCTTCATCATCTAACTGCTCAAGTGGTTCCACAATAACTGGACGAGGAGTTCTAATAGTAACAAACATAGTTCCAAAGTTTTACCACCACTTTCTCATACAAGTTAACCAAAAAAGTTATTAAAATTTAAGCACAAGGTGGCTTACGTTGTAAGTAAAAAAACGCCTTCACTGCATCTTTCAAATGCTTTTCTTGCTGCTGGTTTAGAAGCGAATTCAACAATGCCTTTCCCTGTAGATCTTCCACGATCATCCACAATCACAACAGCTCGTTCAATGGGACCAAACTGACTAAATGCTTCTTCCAACAGTTCATTGGAAACGTAAGGTGAAAGATTACGAACTGAAAGGGCAGCAGCATGTGTGGCAAAGCGAACTCGAAGCTGTCTACCTCTCATGGGGGTATCATCAAGTTCCGCTTTGGCAATTTCAGCCAAAGCTCTAGATTCCTGAAAATATGAGAAACATTAATGATACTGACCTAAGAATTGGGCTAATGCTCATTCTGAAATTGCCACAAACGTTAACACCAAGACCACTCAGAATAGACAGGTGGCTAAACACCTTACCCACCCATCCCATTTTTTGTTAGTTGACATCAAGGTGACTATAACCCATGTTTTGCTGTTAAGTGCCATCAAGCCGGGTTCCGACCCATAGCCACCCTGTAAGAGGATTTCCAGGGAGCAACTGGTGAGCTTGAACCGCCGACCTTGCAGCTCATACAGCTTTACAGGCTTGTGCATTAACCCATAGTACCACGCCAGGACTCCCATGGCTAGGTACCAGTAATTATGTCCTATGCAGTAGTTCCATCTTTTCTCTAAGAAAAACGGAAAATTTAAACACCACTAAATCTTCAGTATGTTTGTAGCAGCCACAAAAAGTGCTAATTAAAAAAAGACTGGTTTACAGTTCAGAAAGAGACTGGAGGAACCTGAAACTATGGGCCTCAACACCACCCATTCAGGTCTGTAAAAAAACTCATCCTCGTCACCCAATTTTCAGCCAGTTATTGTTGTTAAGTGCCATCGAGTCAGTTCCAACCCATAATGACCCTGTAGAGGGTTTTCGAGGAGTGACACTGCAGTTCAAACGACTTTACAGTCCAGCGCATTAACCCACAGCACCACACCAGGACTCTGGATGTTGTTAAGTGCCATCCAGTGAGTTCCGACCCATAGCGCACAACACTAGCAAGTTAGACTCACCAAGGAAAGGTCAATCATTGAATATCATAAAGATAACATCTTCCCAAGGCTAGCTTGAGAAGGAATAGGAAGGTGAGTGACCCGCGCATAACTTGTTAATTCTACATAAAAGCAATTGCACTCACAAGTTTAATAAATCCGAATCCTTTGCCTTTGTTGATAAATACTTCTCCCGGTTCTCCGTACTTTGCAAACAGTCTTTTGAATTCATCCTCTGTGATATCAGCAGGTAGATTCCCAACAAACAGCCGACAGCGCTGTGTGTACGTTTTCTCTCCAGGCCTCCTCAAGAGAGACAGGTTGGCTTTAAACCCCTAAAGCAAAAAGGAATTTTCAGACACCAGTGAGCACGGCAACTGAAAAATCTCAATTTCAGTCTCAAAAAACGGAATGTGATACCAGTCGAGTTCTTTTCTGCTCCGCTTAAGGTAAAAATCAAGGTTTTACTATCTTTCCCAAGACTTCCAACGCAATCATCCCAACAAAGAAACCTGAATCCTTCAGAAACCCCATCCAACAGCATCGTCACTCATTCTTGCCACGACTCCCTGACAAATCTCAATCGCAGAAAATAGCGAAATAGTTAAGAAACGCAATGTGCAAAGCCACGTTATCACTGACAAGCCGTACTAAAGCAGAGAACCCCGGAACTCCCCAAACGTACATTCCACGCTCTGCATTAGCTCTGTTTCTACGATCGCCTAGTCTTAAACCGAGCCCATGAGGGGGTTTTTCCTTGGGAAAAACCGCTCTTCCTCATCGTCCCCCTCTATTAAACTAAGAAAATGGCGGCGCTGGCGGCCCATCCCGGCCAGACTAGCGGACCTACGCTCGGCAGCCGGCCCCGCCCCCGCCAACGACGCGCGCAGGCGCCCTGCCGGCCTCCGACAAAATGGAGTCCGAGAGGGGAAAGAGGAGTGGGTAGCCGCCATCTTAGGGAAGCCGACACGTTGCTACAGGAAGACACTCACCTCCGAATCGGATATCTTCTCCTCACTGCGGCCGCCGGGCCCACCGGGCGGGGGCCCCTGGTGGTGCTGTTGGTGGTATGGGATGTGGTGCTGCCGACCCCCGCGGGGCTCTCCGTCGCCGCGATGCGGTGGTTTGGGGTGGCCACCGGGACCACCTAGGCCTGGTCCGCCCCCGGGCTTCGGCCCGCCTGGCATTTTGCCGCCTTTGGGGCCGCCAGGTCCCGGGCCCTGCTTAGGCCCAGGTCCCAGGACCCCAGCGGGTGGGGGCGCGGGCCCCCGGCCTGAGGGGGAGTGGTCGGGACCCCACCGCTCGGCGGCGTGGGTGGAGGCGCCCCGGGCGGGGCCGAAGCGACCGCCGGCGGTGGAGTCGGGGTGGGACCTGGTCCTGAAGGGCCCCCAGAATTCGGAGGAGTGGCGGGAGGAGCGGTCCCGGAGGCAGTTGGGGCGCTGCCTACTCCCGGAGACGGGCCGGGACCCTGAGGAACGACCGGCTTAGAAGAGTCCTGGGGTGGCGGCGGCGGCTGATGTGGTTGTTGGTGCGGCTGCTGATGCGGCGGAGGCGGCGGCTGCTGTGGCGGAGGCTGCTGCGATGGGGCCTGCTGCTGCTGCTGCTGTTGCTGTACTTGATGCGGAGGAGGTGGCGGAATCGGTGGCTTGGGGCCGCCTGGGCCAGGACCCATGGGTCCGCGGTTCTGATTGAGGCCCATGCCAGGCGGCGGGGAGCGGAAGTCGTGGAGGCCGCCGCGGCCGCCACCTTCTCCGCGACGGTGAAAGCCGCCTCCGCCACCGCCACGACTTCGGAACCGATCCCGAGACATGTCTGTGATCAAGGGGCGGTCGAGGCAGAAGCGAAGAAGACGCTCAGGGAACGTGGAGGCCACCTTGCTTCGCACAAAATGGCGGATGACACAGACGACGCGCCGCCTTTGTCCTCGTCTTATATAGTCCAACTGACGTGACTCCCCGCCCCCTTGTCGATCGATAGCCCCAGTAGCCAATAGCAAGTACGATAGTTGATGACTCAAGTGACGAGCTGCTAATCTTTTTTTATTGGCTCCCGGTGAGGGGCGGGAAGCATAGAGTGGCTGAGCTTTCCAGTTAGCCAATGAGCGGGAAAGGAGTTGGCTGTAGGCCACTGATTTGCTGGGAGAAATTTGAATGGTACTGCCAGGCCAATTTTCCTGTGAAAGCAAAGAGCCTGGGCAGGTTATCCTTGCTCTGAAAGAACAGATGTTCTCACAACCAGCATATACCAGCACATACTTGGTATCTATACTTCTTCTTTTTTTTTTTTAATTTCACTTCATAAATAAAGCATAAATTGTGGTGCCTACGATTGGCAGTTCAAATCCTCCGGCCCTTCTCCAAAACCCTGTGTCGAGTCGCCCTGAGTCACCCTGAGTCAAAATCGACTCCACGACACTTGGTATCAACTATCCACCTTACCTTGTACTGGGTTAATGGAATTGTAAAAAGAAGATCATAACGATTTCAAACATACACACACAATCTTAATGTTCTCATTTTGGAACCTTATAGGCTTATGGAAGGGACTCTGGTAGCGTTATAGTTACCAGTAGGGCTGTTAACCTCAAGGACAGCAGTTCGAAACTACCAGGGGTTCTGCCAGAGAAAGATGAGGCTTTCTGCTCCCATAAAGATTTACAGCCTCGGAAACCCTATACAGGGTCGCTATGAGTCGCATAGCCGCCACCACCACCATAGATTTGTTGTAGCAGTATAAACTTAACAGTAGGCTTAACTGGGTGTACTCAGTTCAAAAAGCAAACAGCTCTTGATTAAGAAAATATGTTGCGACTCATAGGGACACTAGAGTTTCCAACAAGTAGCTGGTGAGTTTGAAGTGCCAACCTTGCAGTTGAACCCACCTTGCAGTTTAGTGGTTATACTGCAGTGCCACACCAGGACTCTACTTATACATTGTTGTTGTTGAGTGCTGTCGAGTCAGTTCTGATCCATAGCGACCCTGGACAGGGTTTCCGAGGAGCAGCTGGTGAGTTTGAACCGCCGACCTTGAAGTTCAAACAGCTTTGCAGTCTGGCGCATTAACCCACAGTACCACAGCAGGACTCCCACTTATACATATTGACTAATAATTTGAAACCATTAATCACAGGAGGAATATAGCATTTTTACCATTTTACTTAATCTTATCAACACATTTTGAACATGTTATCCCTAAAAATTGTTACTTCCGTTGCCATTGAGTAGACCTCTGATTCATGGGGCACCATGCTCTATCCTAAGTGATCTTCATAATCTTGTGCAGATCTGACGTTTTGATTCATATGATTGATTTTCATCCCTGATTTTTGTAAGGTCACTGGACCATTCTTCCCACTTTCTTATTTTGAAGCTTTGCTGAAACCTTGTGGAGGTTGTGCATGATGTGTATTGCAAAGAATCAAACCTTGCTCTCCCATGAAGAAGGTAAGAATTCTACCCTAAACAACCTACTTAAAAATTGTTGTTGTGTGTTGGCGTCTGTCATTGTCTACTGGGCAGGGCGCCCGATTTTGCGAAATCAAATAAAGCAAACCTTACTCTCGCTAAAATGAGTACAGATTGGATTACTTGAGTGTATGTCAGTATAGACAATGTTTCTCACAAATTTGGAGGCCCTTCCAGAATTTTCTGCCTGCTTGGAGTGGCAGCCCTGGTGGAAACCGCCACAGACTTGATTGCCTCCAAGTGAGAGCCAGAAAGAGACCCAAGACTGTTCAAAGGTAATCAGAATTAGCTAGAGAGACTTGGAGGACTGAGAAGAGAGTAACCGCTGCGACCAGGCAGTCTGTGTATAGACCAGGGCAGGAAAATTGGACTGTAAGTATTACCCTGGTAGTCAGGCATTTTCGGGGGTCGTCATTGTGTATCTGAGATGCATCTTGAATGGGAAATGGGTGCGGAGTCCCAATCTGGTTAGAGAAGGATAAAGTGAAATCTCGGGGTCGTATACAAGAAATCTCCATGAGTACCCAAACATGGTGAAATTTTGGAAGGTTGAGTATGCAAGGGAACTCAGACACCAAGACTGAAAGAAAATGGGGAACAGAATTCTAGGCCTAGGGAAGAAGGGAGCAGGAGAGACTCCCACAAACATTCCTCCTGTCAGTCCTTTGGAGAGAATGTTGAGGGCTTGGGGGGACAATCCCTAACCCGGGAAAAAGATAAAAATATTGTTGTTTTATTTGGCCAAAAGAACCAATCCATTCACCATCTATGTTCTGGCCTCAATTCGGTTTTATTGGGGACTGGGTCTGCCAGGTCCTAGTGCTTCTCAGAAGGAGATAGCCTATGGTCTTTGTTGGTTAGTAGGGGGAACGGAATCAGTTCAGAAGATGTTCTCCCTTAAAAGACGGAGACCTAGACAAAAAGATTGAAGTCATAAACTGTTGAGAAGCTCAGAAAGTTTTTGTAAGGAGAGAGGAGGAAAAACAGAGGCAGAAGGCCAGAATCATGGTATCTACTATGAATAAAATAGTAAATAAGTGGCTAGAACAATACCACCTTCTCAAGAGAAGTGGAACAGTGATTACAGGGTTAGGCCTCTTCAGAGGAAAGGGAGGAGAGGACTGGGCCAGGTCTCCAAGCCCACCAGCAGATGAGTGTTATGGGAAGACAGACCATTTCAAAATAGAATGTCCAGAGATAAAGAAGCAAAGGAAAAACGATTCCCATCATGAAACTAGAAATTAGTTTTTGAATCTTTTGCAACAGTACTTGATTATAAATTTGGGTTAGGATTATAGAGGGTGAGGGGTGGATGAAGGTAAATATGAGACTTCTGACTGAAGAGGAGAAAGGAAAAATTGACTTGCGGATATGGTTTACAGAAGACAATAGGGGAGAGCTGGAAATTCCATCCTTGGGAGTGGAACTAAAAAGAAAACTGGAGAAGGTGGTCCATAGAAGTAAATACCTTATCCCTGTAGGAGGGAGAAAGAGTCTGCAGCCAGTAATAAAGGGCCTAGTGATTATTTTTTGTTTGGTATGGTAGTTTTCAAATATACACAGACTATTTGCACATTCAAGGTGAAACTTAAATGTGAAGTTGGGCACTGAAAAGTTGTTTTGTTCTATTTTAATATCTTTGATATTCTTTCTGCAGTAAAATGGTATAAATTAATCCATTTAAATGGTGGTTAAGCATTTGTTTGGCTGGTGTAATAGTACTTTTCAACATTGTACTTTACTCAAGGTTTTATTTGTGTGTGGGGGTTTTTTTTTTAATATTATTAATGTTTCATATCTGGGAACATAATACTGTTTTAAAAGATATTTGGTGTACCAATATTTTTTTATGTTAAAATTTGGGCCTCCCTGTATGTATGTAGTTCGTCTTAAGAGGAGGAAAAGGATACTGTGCTATAGATATGAGTATTGATAGTTTCAGTTCATTTGGCAAGGTTATAATGTTTAATTGACATTCCTGATTGAGAAGCTTTTAAATAAAGTACTGTATTCATACAGGAGCTCTGATAGCATAGTGGTTACGAATCAGGCTGCTATCCTCAGGGTCAGCAGTTCAAAACTACCAGCTGTTCCGCGGGAGAAAGATGAGGCTTTCTGCTCCCTTAAAGATTTATAGCCTCGGAAACCCTGTACAGGGTCACTATGAGTCAGAACCAACTCCACGGCACATAACAACAACAACATTCATGCATTAAGATGATAGAGCCAATAATAATTTTTTTAGTTTGAGGAAATGGACAGAGTGTAGTAGAATATGTTATCCCTGAATATCTTCATGTTAATCCTCTCAATTTTTGAAACTGAAGGGTCAAATGGCTTTAAGTGCTAAAGGGGCACCATGCCATAGGCTCCTGTGCCTGGGATTCCTGAGAAACTACATGCTGGGCCTTTCTGCTTTGCTAACCTTCAGGACTCTTGGTCCAAACCCATTCCTTCAAATTCACCGTTCATTACTTCCGACCAGGAGACTTGGTGCTGATCTAGACCTGAAAAGAGAGTGGACTCCAGCTGGAATGGGAGGGCCTTACCAGGTGTGGTTGACCAATGAGACAGCTGTTCAGACAGTGGAAAAGGAGTGTAAAGGGACTGGTGAAGGTGAAGAGGGACACTTCCTAAGGGAAAAGTAGTTACTGGTGGGAAGCAGATCCCTTGCCCAGGGAGCTCTTCAAAGTAACGTTGACAAGAGTCTGAGAGGCTGCCTTGCTGTACTACTGCCAGATGTCATGGTTTTCCCTGGCCCCTCTTGCTTTTGGGGGTCTAAAGAATGAGTCCCACCAAGTCGCCACTTCTCAGTAGACCTGGTAGAATTGGGGGCATAGATTAAATCAAAGTGAGAGTACACTTCAAAGAGAGAAGTAGGTCTGTCTCCCAAGTGGAGAAGACCCTTTGGGATTGAGGTGCACTGGGGCTTATAAAGGTATGGAGTCCTTTCCTCTTAAGATTGGGCTAATACGTATTGATTAGGAGGAGTGGTATGTTGAATATTTATCAATTTTTAATACAGGGGTGCAGGCTTATTTGAAATGGAATGCTTTCTTCGTGGGTTGTGTACCTGTGGCCAACTGCTTCTATTAGGGTTTCAGGTCTTGATGTCTTTGTCTTTTGTCTCCAGGCTGTTCTTTTCAGTGTTTCTATTCTTGTTGGACTAGAGATGCCATTCCCCCTTCCTTAATCCCTGCTTAGTAGGAGGGGACTCAGGGTAAAGGGGTCGATATGAAACCAGAGTAAGAGGGGCCCATGGGTTCTAACCTGTCCCTGACAAGATGGGGTGGATTTGGAAGCTAATATGGCTAAAATGTATCATTACCATGGGGGAGGTGCAAAGGGCTTTTGCCTAGGACCAGCCAGTAATGTTGATAGTAGATGTAACTATGGCATCTTTCCCTCAAACCTTCAAATTAGGTGTTTGCCAAG